CCCCCCTCTCCCCCCAACAAAAAAAGGTGGAACAGTAGGGGAATGGGTCTGGCAGGCAGGTGGAGTGAACTTTAGGTGGTAGAGGATAGGACGGGGCAAAGAGGGCGTAGCAGGGGTCAAAGGAACGATGATGATACCGAGACATTGCAATCGGTTGAAGGTCTGACCTGGAATGTTAGAGGTATGGGGACAAGATCGCTCCTGCCTAAGCACAGATAAATGGCAAAGAAGAAGGTGAAGGCGGAGCAGATCGATGTGGTCTGCTTACAAGAGACCAAGTTAGGTGGAAGCAAGACAGCAGGGCCCTGTGGTGGAAGGGCCGCCAAGTGTGGGCCCCTGCGCAGGGGCCAAAGGGGGGGTCTGCATCCTGATCTCCCCACATTTTAGGGGCGAAGTCAGCGATTGGCACGATGATTGATGAGGACGATGGCTTGGGTGATCCTGCAGTGTGTGGAGGAGATATGGGGCCTGGTGACATTGTATGGCCCGACAGAGGTCAGGATGCAACGCAGAATTTGGGAGAAGCTACAGACCTTGGCACCACAGGTGGACAAAATCATTGTGGCAGGGGACTTTAATTCGGTGGTGGAATCCTCATTGGACTCTGCTAATGAGAGGCACTGGGATGACAGCCTTGGGATGCGCAGACGCTTTTTGGGCAACGTACCCACAGGCCCGAGCCTTCAATTTCTGGGGAAACACAATGACGGGAAGGAGCAGGCTTGACATCATTTGGGCTTTGACGGACCTCCACGACATCGTGGAGAAGGTGCGGCGTTGACTGACAGCGACATCGGACCATTCGGCAGTGATAGCAAGCTACCCAGTGGGAAAGCTGGAGATGGGCCGCCCTCCTCTAAGTCGATCCCGGCCTGGGGCCTTAAAAGTGCGGAGCTTTGTGGTGGCCCAATTCTGGGAAGACTGGACACACGCCTGCCCGCAGGAGAACATAATGGTCCATGTCGTGATGGCGACCCATGACCTGCGGCAGAAGCTAGTAAGACAGCTGCTCTGCAGTTATCTGGGGCATGAAAGGACGGGAGAGGAATATGCCAGCAGGCTGGAGGAGCTCAATATTGGCCCTGCTGAGGATCAATCGGGCGAAGAATGGTGGGTGGAGAGGATAGAGGTGGCCCAAAACTGGAGAGAATGGCAACGGGAGGAAGCGGTTAAATGGGGAAGACGAACCAAGGAGGCACGGACAGTGGTAGGGGAACGCATGCCGCGCCATTTTCTTAACTGGTTGGGCCTGGAGAGTTCGTGCAAGCTGGAGGAGGATATTAAGACGGGGGAAGTGGAGAAGGCAATAGCAGATCTTCCCCGGCTTAAAGCACCTGGAATGGACGGAATGCCAGTGGAAATATACAAGGACTTCCGCAATTTCTTCACGATCCTCCTGACGAAGCCCTCAGGAATGGGTCGTTCCCGCAAAGTTTTGCGGACGCCTACGTGGTTCTGCTGTACAAAAAGGGGGCGAAGGAGGATGTGCGAAATTTGCGACCCATATCCATTCTAAATGTGTCATATAAGATCCTGGCCAAGGTGATGGCAACCCGCCTGAAGGACGTGCTGCCATGTATCGTAGACTGCACTCAGAGCAGCTTCGTGCCGGAATGTCAAATCCTGGCGAGCGTGATATTGGCGCAACAAATTTTGGAAGAAGATCGATGCTCTGGCTGTGCCAAAGCTTTCGTCTTTGTCGACCTTGAAAAGGCGCATGAACGGGTCAGATGGGAGTTTCTCCTGCAGGGGATGGCACGGAAGGGGATAGGAGTCTTCTGTACCTGGGTGAGATGTCTGCTGAAGCGAGCCACGACCGTGATGCAGGTCAACGGTGTCAGATCCGGCAAGCTGAGGGTAACCGGGTCTGTTAGGCAAGGCTGCCCGCTGTTCCCGGCCCTCTATGTGATCTATATAGAGTCCATGCATGACATTTTGAGGGCAGATGAACGGCTGCATGCCATGAAGGATGGCCCATCAGCAGAACTGCAGACTACAGCCTTCGTGGACGACTCGGGCGCAGGGATTCCCCCAACGGCCCAGCAACTGGGGATCCTCAAGGAGGACCTTGTCACCTTCTGCAAGTACTCAGGAGCACAGGTCAACTGGAGCAAAACAAAGGCGATCCTCCCTCCGGAGATGGACCCGCCGGAAGGATGGGATGTCCCCACAGTCAATAAAGGGGAGGGGATGGATTTCTTGGGTGCCAATCTTACACCGAGCTTTGGGGGAGCAGAACAGATTCGGTCCCAGACCACTGTGTGAACGGGCCTGGGCGCAGACACTTTGGCCGAGACTGAAGCTACTGGAAACTTTGTCTCACGGGGCAAGCCAGTGGCAACGAGTCCGCCACTTTCCATATAGGAAAGGGCCGGGCTGCGTAGAGGGCATTCAGGCACTTGCTGTGCAAGCCGCAGCGCTGCTGGAGCATGTGCTCGCAGGCCGCTTGCTTGCGCTAGCGGACGTGAGAGGAAGAAGGGAGCTGCCAAGGGCAGCGCCATAGCCAGCCCAGCCATAGCCGGGCTCGGCTTGGACGGCCAGCAGGAGTGGTGGTGGTCTTCGTGTATGAGGAAGAAGACGTGGGTGAAGAAGATGAGGGAGAGAAGAGAGAGAGACAAGGATGATGATGTGAGGGCACGTACCTGGTCTTGGTGATGGTCCACAGGGTCGACATCTTCATGTACTTCGGTTGTGGCTGCTGACGTTAACAGGTTGCACCGTTGGTGGAATATCGTGGGCTGCGTAGTCGCAGTGCCACCTGTGCGTCATAGTCTAGGTGCTGAGCACCAGGTAGGAGGAAGGGCTCTGGATACATACGTTAGTGGTGGCGAGAGTATGCTCTCATCGACATTTGGATTCGGTGCTTGGTTCTCCGTTGGTGCAATATCAGTCCAGTGCATATCTGCTTTCTGGACAGCGTTCGACTTTCTGGCTTTCAATGTGATTTTAATATCATTTACATTCTGGAATTCTGTCATTTCGCTATCGCTCATTTTCCTTGCACACATGTTTCCAAAAATATCTATTAAAAAAATCCTCACCTCGTCTTTTTACACACGAGACAAAGAGAAAAATGAAGCGGTTGAAAATCCCCCTTTTTTCCCCCAACGCCCAGAGTAACCCAATTTTTCTGAACCTGCCCCTGGGGCTCCCCCCATATCCCCACATCTGCTCTCCCCCCCCCCCCCCCCCCCCCCCCCCCGATTGTCGGATGTCACTGCTTTATCGCCGGTACGCCTGTGCTGTGGTGAATCTGGTGATGGACATAACGACAGTGGACGTCATGGGTGCATGTCCCCCCCCAACCCCCCCCCAAAAAACAACAACACCCACCAGTGAGGTGTCCTTCTTACATGCAATGTTGAAAATGAAGAGAACCTCTTTCTCCGCATTCTGAAGGCTGCGTAGATGGTCCTTGTTCTTCAGACACAGCGCATCCCACACCGCCGAAAAGTTCACAGCTATCTGATTCGAGTGCCAGCTTGCCTCTGCTGCTCTGCTATGCAGCTCGGCAACATCGTCTGCTCTCTTCTTCATCAACATGGCAGCCAGTACCTTCCTCCTGTCAGACTCCGTTCCTGCGCAAAGAGATTCATGCGCACTGCGCCGCCGGACAAGCGCACAAACAATCGCAAACATCATCGTCACCAACATACACCAGTCGAGAACACCAAGCACTAATCAAGAAAATTTACAAGAACCAATCATCAATCATCCATTATCGATCATCAACCATCAAGAATCAATCATCAATCATTAACCATCAATCATCAATCATCAATCATCAATCATTAGTCATCAATCCTCAATCATCAATCATTGTCATCAATCATCAATCATAGTCATCAATCATTAGTCATCATCCTCAATCATCAATCATCAATCATTAACCATCAATCATCAATTATCAATCATTAGTCATCAATCCTCAATCATCAACCATTGTCATCAATACAGATCATATTGGTCGTATGATCGATAATCAATCATCAAGAAAGATGTCCTTTGGAACATCCGTCAAAATTGGGGTGATACAGAGAAAAAGATTAGCATGCCCGCTGAGCAAGGACATCACACATAAATTGAGAAATGGTTGAAATTTTCAACCAAAAAAACAGAATCAACAATTGACTTCATTTACCTTTCCCCCCCTGCCCCGCCCCCCCCAAAAAAAATCAAATATGAAGAAAAAATAATCATATTAAACAATCATCAAGAGTCGGGAGCATACTTGCAAGCGCACGTCATGCAGGGGGTTCCCGACGTGCGGCGCACGCAACAAAATTTGCAGGGGCACTGCCTCACCTCGCTCCTCCTCCCCTTCCTCATCCTCCATGTCTCCTCCTCCCTTCTCCTTTTCGTCTCCTCCTCCTCCTCCTCCTCCTCCTCCTCCTGTTCGTCGTCCTCCTGCCCTTCCCTCATCCTCCTTGTCTCCTCCTTGTACTTCCTCATCTCCTTCCCTTCCTCGTGTCCTCCCCTTCCTCGTGTCCTCCCCTTCCCCGCCGTCCATGTCTCCTCCTCCTGCCCTTCCTCTTTTCTTCTCCTCCCCCATCTCTACTTCCCCTCCTCCTCGTCCTCGCTATCCTCGTCGTCCTCCTCGTCCACATCCTCCTCCTCTCCATATCCCCCTCCTCTCGCTATATCCCCATCTTCCTGTCTCCCGTAATAAAAATAAAAAACCTGCACGATTCTGCACAGGCACTGCCCGCACGGAGCTCCCCACAAATATGCGGCTCGTGTGGTTGCAAGTATGGATGGTCAGGAGTCGAGAATCAATCTAGAACATCTTGATTATGTAAGACTTTTACATCCAACTGAGAGAACTGAGAGAAGCCATCCTCCCTTTTTTAAGTTTTTTTAATCGACAGATGTGAGATGAATGGTGGAGGGTTGGGTCTATGATCCGACTATCTATTCCAGACACTGACCCTAGCAGGGATCAAAAGTCTATCAAGAATGAACAAGGCGGAATACAAGGGTCATGATGCACTGGTGCTATGTTCATGCAATGAAAGCATGAACCTGGCCACTAATACGGCCCGTTTCATGCTTTCCACGCATGGACCTAGCACCAGTGCTGCCTGCCTCTTGCTTGCTGTGTCCACTCCTTAAAAGTACTCTTCATTCCATGCAAAGTAAAGTCGGCGTCCAGTGCGAGAATTCTCACTATCTAGACCAGGTTCATGCAAAGTATTCTCTCCGTACGGCTGTCCTAGAGTGTGTACCTATTTCCAAATGGGGCTAGCAGAAAACAATCAGAAAGACAAGGACAGTAGCGTAAAAATGAAAAGAAAGAAGAAAGAAAGAAAGAAAGAAACTTCAAGAAAGAAAGAAAAAAAGAAGGAAAGAAAGAAGTGTATTACATTACTAAGAGTCAGGGCTTATTTCCAAATCGGGCTGGCGGTTTTCGGCAATGCAAAGCCAGTACGTTCCGAGCTATTTTTTCAGACTTGTGGTTTGCATATTGCCGCAACCTTCGGGGCTCGGCCGCCGGAGCAAAATGGCTGGCCGCACTGGGGCGCCAGGCAAAAGGATTCGTTGTTTTTTTGGCGCGCAGCGCGTTTTTTTTCCAGGCCCAGAGAAAAGTGCCTCCGAAGTACTGGTGGTTTAAGGCAATGGACACTTCAGAAAAGAGAAAAAAACTTTAACAAGGAAATAGCAGGGGGGAGCAATGAAAGACGGGAAAAATGAAAAACTTCTGAAAAAGCTTAAAAAAAAAAACAGAAATACAAAAAGTTGAAAAAGATAGTAAAATACTGCATCATCTGGTCTTGTTGTGAGAATTCAAAGCTCAAACATCAAACACTGCCCCAGTCGGCAGAATATTGTTGAGGATCGCCCCCTTTTTTCCTCCTTTTTCTTACCCCCATTTTCCTTAACCCCTTTTCTTAACCCCTTTGCCTTTTCTTCTCTAATCAAAGGAGGAGGAGAGAAAGGGGAAGGTTATGGAAAGGTAGGGATGCCTGGTGGCCTAACTGTAACACACCTAATCATGAATCAACAGATCACATGTTCAAATCCCACCAGAGACAAGTGTGCATAACAACACTAAGAGCAACCCCTCCCTCCCCCTCTTCCCCCCCTTCTTTTCGGAATCACGACTACGAAGGATATGAAAACCAGAAGAGCAGGCCAGGACCACAAGGACCTGTTTCATCTTAAAAAGAGAAAAAGAAAAAAAGGAAAGAAGCCTAGTTTGTCAGAGTCGACCGGCTGGGCAGACCTGGGCAAACCGTCCTGGGGGAGGACCCGCCTGCGGTACCTGGGCTACACAAAAAGCTTTTTTTTTCTTTTTTTTCCTTTTTTTTTTCCCGAAGTGGGGCACTGAGATGTGGCCAAATCCGGCCTCACCTCTGAAGTTGGTGCTGTCTCACCTAAGGGTGCCTAATACTGCCTATGGGAGATAAGCGGAGTGCAAAGGGGCTTAAATGGGCTTAAACAGGCTTAAAGGGGTTTGATTTCATAACAAATCTCTCGGCTTGAATGGGTTTTACATATAATTGAATGTTTGGTTTCTATTTTTTTTTTGAAATTTCATAACGAATTTCTCGGCGACCGTCAACCAACAGTTGTTTGATTTGCCATTCTGCATAACATAGCTGGTAGCCTAGAAAACAAGAAAGAAGTTCAAAAAAAAAAAAAAAAAAGTTTGAAAAGACAGAAGCGGAGGCAGAGGAAGCCGGTGTACCTTCCCGGTATGCTCAACAACTCCTCAGCTTGAGCAAGCGCCCATGCCAGGTCTTTTCTGTCAGCATGTCTGCAGCAGATCACCTTTAAGATCTCCTCAGCTTCTAGCAGCTCCTTTTTAACGGGTGATATCCCGTCGCGGAGCAATTGCTCGTAGAGGCGATTGGTTGCTGACACCATCACTTCCTCGGCTATGGCCGCTGACTCTCCTTCAGCAGCAGCCAGATGTGACGACAGAACTGATCCAGCCTCCCGAGAAGTCAGGATAAGTGCAGCATAGCCGTCAATCTCCTCCTCCTCCCACCTGTACTTCACATCCTTTTCTCTCCATCCCCGCTGGTCCAAGTGGCGCCAAACTGCCTGTTCTCCCTCTTTGCTGCCCCTGACCAGATACTTCTTGCACAGAGAGTTGTCACTCTTCTTCTGAATGTACGCACGGACACCAGACACAAAAGAACTCTCCCGAAGCGTCTGCGTCTTCACCCTCCTTTCTGCATCCTCCTCACGATGAACCGCACCGAGAACCGAACCACCGTCCTTCTTGTTTGATCCCAGGACTCTGCCGGCGTGTTGGAGCTTCGCGGCTTGCCTGGACATGACCGAGCTTCGCCGTAGCGAGGTCGTCCGCACAGTATCGACCGCGCTATCCTCACTGTCCTCCGGTGATTGGTCGCTTTGTGGAAGCTGGTTCTGAGGTTTGTTGCAATGCACAGGTTGATGGTTTGCACATTGTTCATCACAGTCATTCCCGCCAACTGTTTGACACCCGGCGACTTCAAACGGAGTTGTTGGCCGACAAATCTCTCCATGCTCAACAGTTCGCTGTTGAAGCTTGAAGGTGTGGTGCTCGGAAGGCACTTCAGGACAGTTAAAGGGCAGCTCATGGACTTCCTCGACTTCCTCAACAACCTCAACCTCCTCTATCTCTTCCACCCAATCTCCTTCTCCTTCCTCCTCTCCTTCCCCGTCCTCGTGAGTCTCAGGGTCGACAGGTTGTGAGGTCTCCACTCCAGCGTAATATTCAGCATGTAACATGGATGGCGACATTGCAGTGCTCTGAAACGATACCGGAAGAGAAGGATCGGATGCACGTGATGAGGTCTGCTCCTGGACCTCTGACGATTCAACTACACGCGTCATCGACGATTCCTCTTCCTTGTTCGTTACAATCTCCTCCTTAGCCCAGACATGCTGATCTTCTTCTTCTTCTACTACTACTACTCCCCATTCTTCTTGTCGTTCCTCCTTCACCAGCCCTCGTTCATCCATTTTCCCCTCCGAGTAGAATTCCGCGTCCATTGTTGACGACGAGGACGACAACATTTCTGTGCTTTCGAGAGATGCTGGGAGAGGGGCATCCAAGGCAAAGGACGAGCTCTGCTCGTGCATCTCTGACGAGTCGGCCACATGCCTCTCTGACAGTACACCTTCTTCCGGATCTAGCTCAGTTTTAGTTTCACTCGGAAGGAAACTCGAGGAGACCAGAACCGTTTCACCTATCACCGAGACAACCGCTTCCTGACTTTCTACCGATTCAGCGTCTTCTTCTTCTTTCTCGGCCATCGCTAGTTCGTTTCCCACAATAAATTGCCGGGTTTTCACCTCCAAGCGCTTTTCATTGTCTCTGTCTGTTGATGCTTCCACCCCCGCTCCTTCTGGAAATGATGCCGCTGCGGGCACTAGCTCCTCTTCATGGACCTCCAGTCCCTCTGTGCTTTCTTCGTGTTCCTGTGCTGTTACTGCTACTGCTGTTGCTCCTGGTTCTGCATAGGGATCCGGAGATCCAAGATGAAGCACTTGAGCCTCCTCTTCCGTGACTTTCGCTACCGTCTCCTCCGACTTTGCCAGACCGTGCACTTGAACCTGCTCGTCTACGACTTGCACTACCTTCTCCTCCGACTTTGCCAGAGCAAGCACTTGAGCTTCCTCTTTCACGACTTCGACTACCTTTTCCTCCGACGTTGCATACGGGTCAGGCTCGGCCAAGATTAATTCTGCAGCGTGTTTCTGTGATTCGTCAGCAGCTACTTCTCCTTCATCGGGTCCGGCATATGGGTGAGCACTTGACACATCCAGCTTCTCATCCATCTTCTCTTCAGCTTTTTCGACTCCATAACCTGTGGCTTCTGTTGATTCCGCTGCTTCTACTTCGCCATACATATCATGAGCTATCCAACCCGTTTGCTGACGTCCCTGCCCACCCCCCTCAGCACCCGCTATTCTCACCTCTTCCATGCTCGTCATTCCTGAGTGACCTGCCGTGATCACCACACTCGTTGCATAAGGATCTTCTGAGGTGGTCTCTGTCTCACTAACCTCCTCCATCTTTTGGTACAAGCTGGTTTCTGCCATTTCCACCCTCTCCTCTTCCTTCGACTCTTCCTCTATTATCACCTCTTCAGCCATCTTCACTTCTGAGTGACCTGTAGTGATCAGCACGCTCGGCGCATAAGGATCTTCTGCTGTGATCTTTGTCTCACTAACGTTTTCCAACTTCTGCGACACATCGTGTGTTTCTCCTGTTTCTTCAGTAACCAACTTCATAACTTCTTCGTGGATGCCGACTTTGTCTTCCAACGATTCTGTTCTTGAAGTCTTACCGATTTCTTGCGTGGTCTCCACAACTACACTGGCTTCCGCAGCAGATGTTTGCATTGCTGACGAGCTCACCTGCGTTGTCACGGATTGCGCGACCGCACCGTGAGAGGTGACTGCCAATACTTCCATCACCATCTCCTCCTCCACGTACCCATCGGTATCCTCCGTACATTCAACATGTGCTCCCTCCTCAACCCCTTTATTTTCCTGCACTGCTGACGCATCTTCCACATGGACAACTTCGCCTTGAGAAGCAATTCGTTTCTGTTCTTGGACCACGTCAACCACCTCCTCTGCATGTTCTGCCTCGACCTTCACGAAATCATCTCCCACAGTGTGTTCCTCTTGCTGGGTGATGACGGAGGTCGTTTCCAGAGCACCGTGCTCACCCCCTTTCTCTCCCTGTTTCTCGTGCTGGACGCATACACCCTCTGCATCTGCCTTCTGCACGTACACTGCTGCACTGCTCGGCTTCTCCTCCGTCCTAGTTTCTGTCGAAACCGTTTCATCATTCAACACCTCGCTCTGTTCCTCGACCTGGTCGTCCACTTTCTTCTTTCTCCTGACAGGTATTCTACGGATTTGCTTTCCGTGGACATCAGCCGTCATCTCCGTCTCCTCGTCGTCTTCTCTGTGCTGTTCAGTGTCTACTTTCACAAAATCCCCTCCCACGCTCTCGTCAGACTTCCCTCCTTCATCCTCTCCATTGCTAACACTCTCTTGGGTCTTAGACTTCACCACCTCCTGCTCTCCATCTTGGCTCCCTGACGGCGAGACCTGCACAAAGTCTTCGCCAATGACTGATTCCTCCCGCTTGGCCTCACTTTGAATCCGCTCGTGTCCCACCTCGCTCTTCTTCTGCACTGATGTCTCCTGTGCCTCCACCACCTTGATGGCTTCCTTGTGCTCTGTG